TGTTCCTTCCCTCGAAGCGAAGGAGGAGGCGACACTCTCCGTATTGGTATTACCTTGCTATTAGGCTAAGCGCCCAAGATTAGGAGCATGGGCGCTTATCTCCTCGCCGTTCGTCGTTTTTGTTGTCTCCACATACCCATGTTTAACCCTTGCCTCTTCACCTCTCCATGACTTGCTTCGCCTGAAAGCAGTGTTGTGAGCAGAGGCAACTGAGCAAACCGAGAACCGAAGACAGCAACAATTGGGGACAAGTCAATTACGAAAAGAGAAAGGGAGGGAGATTTAACTGAGCATATTTTTAGGGCGCTTGAATGATGCAGGTTATAAAACTCCAGACAGGAGAATCGTCAGGTTCCGAGGTTAAAGACTCAGGTTGAGCTCGGACGAAGCCAAGAAATTCGGCTATTTCCAGTTCATCGCAGTTCTTCCTTTGAATCCTCGAAACCCGTCGGTGTGATAGGCTCAGCTTCTTATTTGATCGGAGCTCTTGAACATAAAGTCTGTTCAATGCAAGTTCACCATTAACAGTACATGTACAACATTACTGTGGATGTGTAAGCCGGAGGTGTATCGGCTTCGCGTCCAGGTTTTATCTCCTTCGTTCCACACCTGGATTAGCGGGTGACTTCGGGGAGGTAGGTGCAAAAAAACATGGACGTGTCCTGGGCATGACCGGGCCTTGAGTCGAACAAGGGACTCCCAACTTGCATTCAATTGGAATGAAGCCCGTGTTAGGTTGGGTGCAAGCCGCTTCGCGTCCAGGTATTATTTCTTACTATTTGACCCTGCATAGGTGTGTGTGGATTCCCAACTTGCAGTATTGCAAGGCGCAATATGTGGGTTGGGTGCAAGCCACTTCACGTCCGGGTCTCATTCCCTACCTTGCAAACGTGAATCAACGAGTGACCTCCAAAGGACGCGGAAGAAAAAGGGATAACTCAGAAATGCATAACCTAACCTTGATTCAAACAACGGATTCCCAACTTCCATTACTCGGCAAGCTTATGTGGGTTGGGTGCGAACCGCTTCGCGTCCAGGTCTTATTTCTCTGATCAAGACCCTGAATGAGCAACTTAGCTCCACAGAGTCAATCTGCTCCTCAATAGGCTCTCCACGGAGCTGACTCTCTGATTCGGTGAAGGCACACACCTGAAACAGAATGTCGGATAGGATGAGAGGGGCGAGGCCTTGTCCGGAAATTAGAGTTGGAAGACAAAAAAAAAAAATCCGAGGAACCTCGCTTGCGGCGCGCAAAATTTGGAGAGCATGATAGGGAGTAAATATTTCAGTGAGCGCCAGACCCAGATGCCGCCAAACAAGGAAGCATTATTTAGTGTTTTTGAATTATCTAATTCCGACGAGCCCAGCAAACAACCCAGTTTCACGTCCGATACGTTGAGAACTGCGTCGTCGCTCGGGCCATCTGCCCCGCAGAAAACTGCGTCATGCAGGCGTCGGAGGAGTAATCCATGAAGTTCGCTGGATGTCCATGTTAATACGTGCTCCGACGACTTGGAAAGAGGAAGGGTACTCACTAACGGGATCTGCGCCAGGGAAGCTAGTGCCAGTGCATGTGTCGCGGCCGGAGGGGCAGCCTGAGGCGGCGGAGGACTCGGCGGGCGTGTCGGCGACGTAGTCGCCTGCGGTGGTAGTACCGGATCCTGCGCACCCACCCTGGAATGTGTGGTACAGTCCGAGCCAGTGTCCAGATTCGTGAGTGAGTGTCTGCGAAGTTATTAGAATCTGCGGGATGAAGTGAGATGAGTCGGCGTACCCGTCCAAGGTTGTAGCCATTCGTCGAGCCGCCGGGGACGCTGGAGAATAGGATGACGATCCCGTCATCCTGCGGCGCACCGCTGTATGAGGACGGGAATGTGGAGTAGCCGAGGAGACCGGCGCCTGAGCCGTTGACGAATCTACCGACGATGATGAGTTGGTTTCGATGAATGCCAGAAATCGGCGTACCCCACGGAGTAGACGTTGAGATCGCCCTTTCCGCCCTGCCGCGAAGCTTTCATAGCTGTTTGCTGCGACGTGGAGGGCCCGGCGTTGTTGAACCAGTCGGCGTTGACCGTCCGGTTTGTGTTTGCAAGAGTCCAAGTAATATTCCCGGCGTAGTCGCTGTTAAGCGTTTGGATCTGGCTCGCAATTTGGGAGTCGCTGGATTTGCCATGTCAGTTGGAAGTCGCAGTTGGGAGAGGAGTGAAAACGTACGGAATATTTCCCCCAGCTAACGTTGAGTCTTTGCTGATGACGTGCCAATATACCTAAGGTGTTGTTAGAACGTGTGTTGCCAGTAGGGAGACAGTAAAAACCTTGACCGCCGTGTTGGCAATTTTTTCTGCCTCAGTCTTGTTAGCGTCGAAGTGGCGCTCCGCGACGACGATGTCCTCGGGCTCAATGTGTGTTGCGCATCCTCTGAACGAAGTTAGAATTGGAGGCGAGAAGAAATGAAGAAGGAAGCTCACCTGTGTCTGGCGATAGTAGGACCGCCAAGGACAACAGAAGCAGTGAGCAGGAAAGTGAGAGAAGTAGTGGTAAGCATTGTAAAGTTGTTAAGTTGTTAGATGAGAGAGATGGAGATACTACCGTCAGAACGTAGCCTTTTATATCATTTGAGCAGGGAGCTTGTCTCACGGGCAAGTCGGGAGACTCGGAGGCTAGGACGTTCGGTCTTGATTCCAGTACAGTCGAGAGCACATTCGCCAGGCCTGGGTTGTGCGGATAGCTGAGACTGGCGGGGGGCAGAAGGGGTGTCTCAGACATCGACTCGGAGTCTAGCTGGATTGGAGGATTCCCAAGCACACGCTAGGATTGGAAGGCATCATGTAGACTGCGCATGGAAGCGCTGACATTCATTCAGCAAGGATGCTAACGGGTGGAGGTCGAGCAAAAGTCGGCGGTCAAGAGCAAAGTGTTTGCCGGTACACGCCGAATGATCGGGTGATCGATCACCTTGATTCACACGGTTTGACGGGGTGACTATTCATACCACAGCTCGCGCATCTATGGATATCAGCTGTAGTGGACATGGGTAGCAACTTCACCCAATCAGTGGTGTGCGGAAGGCGGAAGGAGGTTCGATTCCTCCCGACGGCATTCACTGTACTTGATGTTTCTTTCTTCCCGTTTGCGATCTTCGTTTTCTTCGCCCTTCACACTCACGCCCACATATATACGAATACCAGCCGTCGTAGACCATGGCGGTCACCCTCACTCAATTAGGCTTTATCGTTCCGCCAGAAGGGAATCGGAGGTTCGATTCCTCCCGACCGCAATGTCTTCCCGCGGCCACCCCTTTTTTTGTCTTTGCTTCAATGGTGTCCCATTCAACGCGAAGCTCACCGATGCACCAGAATCATTCATCGTGGACCGTGGCGGTCGCCTTTATTCACTCATCTGTGTCCATTGTATGCGAGGGAGGCGGGGGTTCGACTCCCCCCGGTAGAATGCAAAGGCGCGTCATCTTTTTCCCAGTCCGAAAATGACTCACGCGCGAGAGGGGCTGCGTTCGCACAAGAATGCGAGCTTTTCGGGATGGATACACGAAGGCTAGCTCTGTCACAGACTCCTGTGCTACCACATCTTCGTATGAACACTGAATTAGGAACTACACTAGTAGAAGGGACTGCGGTGTCGTCTTGGACCCGGAGCTGGTATGAGAATTGCACGCATAGTGCACAGGATACGGGCTGTTCGCACTAGACTGGACGTAGAGTTTATGCAGAGTATCTAAATCCCTGTTTGAAATTTGCTAAATTTGCTAAATGCAAGCCGTACTTTGTCAAGTAACAACTCATGGCATGGCCTGATAGCATAATGGTTAATGCCCCTGCTTTCCTTTAGTGCATCCACCAGGTTCTACAGGTGATCCTATTTTGACTCCGGGTCAGGCCATCCCCTCTGCTTTTTTTCACATGTATTTCCTTCAACTTTTCTCGTCCTTTATTCTTCCTGACAGTCTCACTGCATCTCCTTCCTTTCTTCACACGGAGGTGGACACTGGTATCGGACTCGCGGCAGGCTACCCTCATTCCCTTCATTTCACTTTTCTTTTGGGTTTTTTATCACTAGTACTGCAGCAAAGCTCTCCCGGATCCTCACCCGCGCCGAAGCACCAGCGCCTGCCGGTCGGTACTTAGCGATGAATCGGATCGGACTCTTTTCAGCTTCGCGTCCCGATGGCGATGTGGCGCGACCTCCGACTTCGAGGTAGATTCACCATCTACGTAGTCAGACCGTTCAACGTCATCGCTCAGTCCAATATACACGGTAGCACGAACACAACAACAACACGTTTTGTCCTGCGGGTTACACGTACACATACATACTCTTAATAAGTACACTGGAGCAGAGCGCAGAGATAGGAATCGGAAACGAGAAAAAAATAGCCCGGAACGGCGGAGCCGCGGCGCGAAGTCTACGTCGCCTTCCTCGCCTCCCCTCCTTCCCTCTGTTGTGACCTGTATCCAGTCCCCCACCTAGCTTGTGCTACTCTCTTCTAAACAGACGCTACAACAATTCTCACTCGTACCTCGTGTGTTGTAGTCTGTCAGTTTCCCGAGATCATAGATCGGTGGTCCCGGTTATTATATAATCACAAAAATATAGAGTCTCAAATCGCATTTCAGAGCGCGTCATTTGCGACTTTGAGTGTATAACGATGTTTGTGGTCCTAAAATGCGCCACTTTCCCGTTCATCTTACAGCGGGGAAGTCAAGAACAAAGATGCCGAATTTTGATCGCTCGGCAGATGACCAAGCCGGCGATATTGATTTTGGTCAAAAGAACGCAGAGAAACAGGTTTTAAGTGTACAGTTGAGTTTAGAAAGACAAGCAAATACCTTTCTGCCCTTGAAGTTTGTGGTTGGGATTGCTGGATAGTGACGAAAGGTCGTGGGAATAAATTCAAACTCCGATGATTTGTAATAAGTGGGACCACCTATCACCGGTGGCGCGGTAAACTATAGACTAAGGTTGTGCAGTAACAAGTAAACAATGGCCTGATGGCACAACGGTTAATGCACCTGCCTTTCCTAACATAGATCGAAGAATCATGTAGGCGATGTCGGTTCGACTCCGGCTCAGGTCATTCACGTGACGCATTATGTCTTTTTTTCTTGTTGTTCTTTGTCCCGAGATCCCGACGTCCTGCTCGTACCCCCCGCACCCAACGTCTCACGAGCGCCAGATGTTCAGGTAGCAGTAACGAGAGACACTCCCAATATTACTACTGTACTATTCAGACCAAGTGTTCACGTAACGTGTAACAGCCTATTTTTTCAAGGCTTCTAAAAATCGCGACAAATCAAAAGAAAATTTATCGGCCATCTCGGTGATCGGAAATTTCAAAATTTGTGAACACTTGATCTGAATAGTACAGTATCCAATAACAAGTATCAAGCAAGTACCACTCCCCCCGTCTGATTCCCGAGTTGCGAGTTGCGGTTCAGAACAAACTTCGCGAACGCAGGCTACCACCTCCAAGTCCAATACCTCCATCTCAGTACGTTCGTCCGCATCCGCAGTTGCCTCGCTCTAGTGCGATATAGTAGGAAACGAGAAGAAAATAAACCGGAACTCCTTCCTCCCCCCTGTTTTGAACTGTATCTAGCACCCGCAGCTTCTGAGGCAACAACCAAAAATGTGGCTTGATGGTATAACGGTTAATGCCCTGCTTCAACTCAGCTGAAGGACTCCGTACTGCAGGTACTGCAGGTGATCCCGGTTCGACTCCGGGTCAGGCTATGGTCCATCATTGGTGTCTTTTTCCCGTTCTTTTTTTCGTCCTCCCGGCAACCACTGCTCCCAAATTCCAACTGCCAACGACGCCTCACGAGCGTCAAATGTTCAGGTAGCAGTAGCGAGAGACACTCCCAATATTAATATCCAATACTACCAGTCCGCCCGTCTGGATCCCGAGCTGCGAAGTGCGATTCATCGAACTCGCGAGCCCTCCACGTCGGAGCGCCATGGACCTGCACGCTACCAACACCTCCGAGTCCCACACCTCCATCGATATCCCAGTACGTTCGTCCGCATCCGCAAGTGCCTCGCTCGCTAGTGCCCAGAAAGCAAGCTATAGAAACACAACACAACACAATTTTCAGGCGCAGAGGTACACGGTCGCGGTCGTACATACATACAGTATTTATTACTTGGCGGAAGAGGGATACGGAGAGGGAGAGAGGAATACGGAGAGAGAGACGGAGAAAAAATAAAACGAAATGGAACTCGATTTGCTTGGATTACACCTGCCTTCCTTCCCCCCTCCCCTTCCCCTTTCGCTGCCTACACGCGCGTTCCTTCGCCCACGCATGTCGCTGCGCTCCCGCACTTACGGCAAGCTCAACACCGTCTCCATAAACCCCTCGTACCCAATCTGGATCCACCCGTCCCGGTCGGCGTCGAGCCGCCCAAACGCCTCGCTCAGCTGCTTCACGACGACGCACGCGCGCACGAAGCGGTCGAAGGAGATGCCCGGGAGGCCGCCTCCTGCGTGTCCCGGCATTCCAGGCATCCCCAGACCGGCGGCGGGGAGCCTTTAGTGACGGGGTTGGCGACTGAGCATCGTCAAATGGACGGAGGAGGAATGAACGAACGAACGAAGGAGGAGGGGAAGGGAGGGAAGGAAAGGGGGGAGCAAAAGACGCACTTGAACTGCAGGAGGCGCAGCGCGGAGGGACTGAGGTTGTACCCGAACTGCGCGAGCGCGTCGCGCAGCTCGATCGAGCCGGAGCGGTCGCGGTCGAACTGCTTGAGCACGTTCTGCCAGTCCTTGGTGTATTTCCAGAGGCCCGCGAACTGGGTGGGAGCGGGTGTGAGTCAGCCGGTGAGGGTGGGGTTTTTTTAAGAGGGGGGACGGAGAAGGGGAGAAGCCGCGCAAAGAGAGACAGTGCATCTCGCCGTTGCAGCGCACACGAGCAAATCAGCGCCGGAGATGCGCAGGGGGAAAGTCGGCGACGGCGGTCCCGGCGTAACGGAGGAGCGGCAGCAACGCGCCCCTCCTCGGTGGCGCCGCGACATCCCTCCGCGCTCAGCGGCGTCGATTGCGAAGAGCTTGGCGCCGCCGGTTATGCGACGCGATATGAAAATGCGGGGGAAAGGATCGAAATTGCGACAGGCGCACGCCGATGGCGCCCCCCATACGCGCCCCGGCGAAGCATAGAACAAGGACGAAGGTCCGAATAAAGAGAAGACAGACGCAAACGCACCTCGTTGAACCCGATCGTGCCGCTGCGGTCCGTGTCTAAAATGGTCATAAGGAGCTTGACGGTGTCGAGGTCGAATGCTGGCACACGCGCACGCACACGATAAGCAAGCAAGAGAATCGCCGTTGATCAGCGCGCGCTCTGCGTGCGGGCATCAGACGGCGTACACAAAGAAGGGAAAAGAGAGAAAGACGCACACAGTTCCACCGCGGTGATCGCGCCCGATCTATCCGTGTCGACCAACGTGAACCAGCGCCACAGCCTACGCACGCCCGCCCGTCAGCCATCCACCCTTATCCAAAGCGGGAGAATCAATGCACACTGGGGACCTGCGCCCGGAGGCGGCCCGTGTGCGCCCTGCGGCGCGAAGCCGCCCAGGTGGCCGCCGCCGTACGGGGGCGCGCCGTACGCTCCGCCGCCTAGTCATCGCAATCGCTCGTCAGATCGGACGCGATCGGGAGGGGGACTCGGGGGGGACGCACCGTAGCCGGGGGCCCGCCGGCTGGGGGGCTTTAGCTGCCGTGCTGCTGGGCGGGGGTGTGCCGTACCCGCCGCCGGGGAGCTTGTTGGGGAATGAAAAAGAATCTGAGAAGGAAAAGAGAACATGTGGCGGTGCTGTCGGCATCCCGGCTTGATCTCGGACCAATCTCGGGCATGTGGCGTGGCTCAAACACGCAGTTTGAACTTTAAAATTTGCCAGATTAGGCTCGGGAACATGTCTTTAAATCCCCGGAGTTTCAATAGACTCTCCGCTGAGATCGAGCGAGGATGAAGCTGTGACGAATATTTTTTCAAATCCACTTTTACCGAACATCTCGGAACCACTCGAACGAAATTCACGCTCGCTCGAGCCGTAGAATATGACCGAGGATTAAATATTAAATGCGTACAAGAAGGCTTGTTAGCGCTAGGTGCGCATTTGTAGTCTACAACGCTGCGACTTCGGCACAGCAGAGACCCCCCGTTCGACTGGGGGCAGGCCATCATTCTGACCAAATGTGGGATGTCTTTTTCGTCCAAAGCAAGCCCGTTGAGCGCTCGAGATTCAGTCGACTAACCGGACCTTTCCGCTATCACGCCGTTCACACATTGAACTGGGGCAAAGATTCACTCCTACCTGGTCAAGGATCCCTTCGCGCAGAATTTATTTGATTCTGCTTTATCCTCCGAGTATGCTATCTTGCTTCCTCAATCCTTATTCCTGCGTGAATTAATCCGGCACTCAATAGGCTCTCCACGGAGCTGAATCTTCGAATTTGAAAAAGCCAAATAACTGATACAACAAGTTAGAATCGATAACGTCCAGATTTCTCGAGGATGGAGGACGGGAGAACGGGATAGTAATTGTGTAGAGACACAATTGATATGCATTCGGAGTTTACGGTTTTGTGTGTGTTTTTTGGGGGGTTCGGTCGTCCCGGGCGACTCGTTGGGTTTCGGAGGCCGCGTGAAGGCAGCGGGAAATCCCGAGTCGGATAGGGGCGGACCGGGCACGGCCAAACCCGTACACAAGGGCCGCAAAGGGACGGCGAACGAGCCCCAGAGCAACTGCACGTGACTTTTTAAGTGCCAGCGTGCTCGGTCTCCCTTGTAGTGTCCATTGAACCAACTGTTAACGGAACATTTATAATAGCTTTTTATATCCTTCTCTTAGTCCCTTGGTAGCCTCAGCATCCATATTGAACCTGAGCACACTGCACTTGGTAGTACAGTTTGGGTAGGCCTTATGGCTCACTAGTGGTTTTGAAACCCAAGTCACTATATCTGACCCCATTGGTGTAGGCACCATCCATAGGAATCTTAGTCTCCTTGGTTTAATGCATTGTTGCAATGCCTCTAACAGCTCAGTTCTCAGTCTCAGGCAGAGCAGAACCCTTAATGTCTTGCTCAGTTTTCTAGCACTCATACTACTGACAAAATCCTCTCTTCACTTGTACTTTTCTTCTGCAGATTCATCCTTTATGGACCGACAACACCGGGGCTGTGTGAGAAGCAGTACCTCAAGAAGCACTGATCCTCGCATGATGATCTCAATCCCTGGTCTGATGTAGTAGTCCCGGAATACCCTGCCCCTTGTCCCCCGCCAGCTACATCTATCTCGTTGCTCAGCTAAACTTCACATGTTTGGAGCAACACAAATACCATTCTTGACACTCAAAGACAAGTGCTTCAACACATCTTGTGACCGTTGAGGGTGACTTAGAAGGATGCATATGAGTGAGAGAATCAATTCTCAATATACATGATCATCATTTCCCCGTACCACAGGATCGGATAAAAGATGAAAGTGGTGGCTAACAAACAACAAATAAGATAAAATTGGTGGCCAATGAGCGATGAATGTCACACGGTACTGTTATAAAAGAAGATGTTCCTTCCAGACTTTCATCACTCAAAAATGCCTCCCCATTCTGATTCCACACAGATTCGGTTCAACCACGTGGTCACGTGCTTAAACACTGCCCTTCCCACCATGGAAGCACTTTCAAAAAATCTAAATACACCCTTCTCGGAACCCATATCAAACACAATCCAGTCCATGTTGACTGCTGCCCAGGTCAATGTCCCCAACGAATCCCTGTATATTGAGCCTCACACGATATCGTAGACTGTCAAAAAGAACAAGGACACATGTACACAAATGCTGGAGAAAATACATGCATTGCTCTATGCCATCATTGATCTCCATATAAGGTCCGACACCGGGACTGACTTGCCACCGGAAGAATCCGATAATCTGGGGAAATTCACCGAGAAAGTTTATTCATATCCACTGTTGTTGCTTCTGACCCTCGCACAGGACCCTGCACAAGATTCACACATTTTTTGAAGCACAGCAGGAGAAAAGCAAGATTCAGCAATTCTTCCGACAAGGGGAAATGAATACCTTGTTAAAGGCTTGTGACCTGGGCCTCGAGCAAGCACTTGAGGTGTTCAAGGTAGATCAATTGTGAATGTTATCATCTCATTTAAACAACAACATGATGATTGCAGATTAACGGGATCGGCATTTTGGCGAAGGTCACAGACATGCAAAAATATGCAGACGAAACACACCAGAAAGTTTTGGAGTTGATTTCAGCCAATTCATCAGATGGACAGAGTTCTGACAGAGAATCGTTTGTGAGTGGTTCACATCATTGCAAACCCGGGAATCTTATTTTTCGAGCTGCATAGATTAGCAGCATGCTTTCCACAAGCATGAACAGGTATGTTTGTCCCCCAATTCCCGCCAAATATATCCTGATTGTCATTGAGCTCGAGTTCACTTTCGTTATTGCCATCTGCACCCAAGATATTCTATGGACGGGAATCTGAAGTTTCAGCTATGCTCCAAAGCCTCAGGGAGGATTCACCAAGGCTAGCCATATTAGGAGCTGGTGGCATGGGAAAAACGAGCCTAGCAAGAGCTGTTGTCCATCACCCTGAAATCTGTTCGAGGTACCCACAGCATCGGGTTTTTGTGGTCTGTGACACTGCATCAAACATTCTAGAACTCGTTGCTCTTATTGGGAGACACCTAGGATTGAAGCCGGG